ATACAAATGTGTTACTGTCCAAAGACTGAGACACATGAGGGAGAAAACAGGGAGGAAAAAAAAATTAATGCAGGGTCATAACTGTTGCATGTGTGTGTATTTTATACTTATCATGTAATGTAATGTGTGTGTCTGTGGTCATTAATATTGTTGTCATATTGCAGGTTAAAATAATAAAAATAAACTTTCAAAACCAGTTTTGCTGTTTTGGTGTTTTGGATGGTTAAAAATGAAAAAGCTGAAACTTTTTTCAACCTGCAATTTTCAGCTTTTACATCCTACTGATTAACTACTTTGCTTACTTTGTTTGTAAATGGGCCTATCATAATGTAAAAGAAAAAAACCGTATGAGGTAAATTCCACAATCTGTTATCTTAATCAGTGAATCAACATAAACAACAATGTAACATAAAATAAAAGTGGATAATTAATTACATGTCTCTAGAAATTGCTGATGTAAAAAGTTTCATTTGGAAAGTAGTGGGCTTAATGCAAAGTTAAATATCTTTATAAATTGTGTATGGTTACTAAGATAGGAATTGTACATTTATACTGAAAGGGAATTCCAGACAAATTAGGGTCTATGAGGCTTATGTAATGCCATTTTAGCCCCCTTGAGGGTGATAAAGCATCAAAAAACCTGCACAAAGGTTCAACCACAGGAGGTGGAAAGGGACAACCCCCAATCATAAAAGATGTTATGGTCAAAATACTTTTTTCCCCAAACTAACTAGGTTAATAACACAGAATTATATTTTAATACCTCACTGCAAATTGTATCAGTATCAATACAGACAAAAAATGTTCTAGGTAGTGGGTGTGCAACTGGAATTCATTAAGAAAAACAATCACCCCAAGAGAACAAACTGCTGGCTCATGATACAAAGCTTATTGCTCTTAACAGTAGTTAAAACTTTTATTAATTTGTTAAATATTATTGTTGATATCAACTGGTGATGCAAGAAGGACACTTATTGATTATTACTATAATCCTCATTGGTGATGAAAAAATTACATTTGTAATATCTAAACGCTCCTTGTCGAACCCTCCTGATAAGGGAAGCAACACAATTGCAATTCATATAAAGTAAAAGCAAAATAATGAGTAATAATATTAAATATTCGGATAAACGAAACAAGACACTCCATAGCAAGAAGAGAGAGATGGAGAACATTTTGTTGATTCTTTGATGAAAAAAATTTGTCAACAATAAAGTTTTTAGGTTTTCTTCCCTTTTCCATATCTCCGGGGAATCTTTTATTTTACAAGTGCTCTCATAGAAACTGGTGCATTATCTGTCATAATCCTTAATCTACTGTTAGGGTGGCACAACATGATTTATGATATACTATTTCTGGTCCAATGCACACAGCTGAATATGTTGTGCTACATTGCCAGTATCCATACATTGAATGCATCATATATCATATGCACATATTTGTGTGTTATATTTTTCAAGGTGTTGCCTCAAGATAAATACTGTGAACTACAAACCATCTGCTGTCAGCTTGAAACTCCTGATGGACTGTCATATTATGGAACATAACAATCCCCATGCAATAACCCCATATAACACTAAAACATCCACTGTATCTACAAATTACATTTAACATGCATATGGCATCATCATCATTGTCACATGACAATCTAAACACCTTGTTTATACTGCATAGACATGTAAAATACACAACCACCTACTTCATGTATAAAAAGTAATCTATTACATTAATCATTCAATAGCTATACTAGATATCTATACTCTGTACTTCATGTTTACAACTTACAGAAACAGTTTGACTTGTAGATATTGCATGTTGTTGTTCATTATTGCTTATTACACATCTATATTTTCCCCTACTTGTATATAAATAATAGGGCTATGTTTAATTTGCATCTATCTTGTTTAGTTGTGTTATTCTTGTTTTTATCTTTAGATCTATGTCTATGTCTATCTCTCTGAAAAATGATAGCAGTGGAAAAAACCTGCAAACACATTCCTTGTGATCCCATACTGATACAAAACATACAAAGCTGATTCTGATTCCCACATGTTGCTGTTGCTTGATATTGCCACAAAGAAAGAATATGCTCTAAGTCTGAATACTGGATTTAAAAATTGAAAGTGAAGAGATCATATCTGCAGGATTGAAACACTGATATGTTTTGCGATGCAGCAGGTCCACCAGATGCACCAGTGCCCGACAAAAAAAACCTTTTCAGCAATTGACATACTGAGCTGAACTTGTCTTGACCTCTTGACCTCCTGCACTGGCTGCGTCTCTCTCACTCAGTGACATGTGAGGAGCAACATAAGCACACAACCCTTCTCCTGCTCTGAGAAGTCAGGCTGCAGTTGTTTTTGCAGGGTTTCTGAGCCAATGTTCAACTGTAAGGGAGCACTAAGCCAAATCCTCCACCATCATCATGTTTTCATCCTTGCAGGGGGAGGGAGGGTTGACTACGAGGCAAAGTGGGGGGAGAAACAGACACACACGGGGCCTAGTCGCCACATCTTTCATGCGAAGAAGCTGTGCCGCTAAACCGTCAGTAACCCGTATTTATTCGTACTAAATATACATGTATAAGTGTTAGCTAGTGTATGACAAGGAGGACAAGATAGAGGTGGAACAACCAGTCCTAAAGTGGTTTGTTCTTGTTCTCTTTCTCTCCTGCGATGCGTTTGGGCTAACTTAGCTTCCGAGCTAGGCGAGGTGGCTAAACGTAGTTCGCTACAGCGTTGAGCTCGTTTTGCAAACCCAACGCCAGACATTGCATGATTTCAACAACGTGGGAATGCGCAATACATTGATGAGATATGCGATAACGGGTTATTACTCAAGGAGGACAGCTAACACAAGCCGCTTAGCTTCAGGGTAGTCTCAGACCTCTTCGGTAGTAACGTTAGCTGAGCCACTTTACGAGGCTATCGTTGGTTTGTTGCCATTTGTCTGGGCTCTCTCTCTAAATACTGTAATTAAACGCTTTGTTCACTCTGTTAAACCAATATTATATCATCTGTGTTTGGTATTAATATAGTGTTTGTTGTTTATTAAGCAGCCTAACGTTAGTGTCTTTGCCCTGACAGTGCTGGCATCAGCTGAGCAGCTGGCTGCTTTGCAAATTCCTTCTGTAACGTTACATTAAAAAGACAAAAACTGCATCAGATACACAGATATTTCTATTAAAAAGCATACAAACAGCTCATACCCTTCCAATGGGCTGTGAGGTTTTATTTTACATCTTCGTGACTAAATGGGCTTTCTCTGTGCCACACAATTCATCTAATGCGGAGCTCTTCTTGTGTTGGAATTTCAGACCCGTTTTTGGTTTCCCACAACAGCTCCGGCCCGGGCCTCAGTCCGCGGTCTAGAGTTTGATAGCGGGCTGATTGGGACGGAAGCACGTCGGTGTGTTGCTGCCAGCCAGCCCCTGTGACCCAACCACCATCATGGGAGACAGTAGAGGTGAGAAAACAACTGCACTGATTCTGTCATCAGCAATGAAACAACATGAATGTCTAACTAAACGTTGCATCTTTAAACTAATGTTGATATTTATTGATACAACTTTATATTTATTACTCAGTTCAGGCCTATGGAAGATATGGGTTATGATGAAATAAAGACTTGCATACTTCTGTATACAGAGTGGTGTTATAGCTGATTTATAACCCCCTGTCTTCCAGAGCATGCAATCATTTTCACTAAGTCAGGGTCAGTCAACCAAATTACCACCCCACCATCCGGCTGAAGCAAAGTGTATTTTAATATTTTATTTAAATTTTGATGATTTGAAATGCAGTTTCTTATGTGTGTTATCATTGTCTCTTTTCAGCAAGACAGGTGTATTGTAATATACAGCTTATACTACAATAAATTTAAATGGTGCACCATTAAAAAAACAAACTCCTTTAAGATGAGAAATGCCCCAATTCTATATTTTATTTAAAACACAGTAACATCTTAATCTGTTTGTTACTGTGACTGTCTGACGTGCTCTAAGGATAATAGGGAGTTTACTGTCTGGCCTGGTGTTTATTTGTCTTGACCCAAAACACCTTACAGTAACATGAGAGCAATGTAGCAACGGTGCACCAGTAGACTTTGAACCTTTATTCCTACTACCCCAGGAAAGTTGGTGCCATACTCGACTTGTTCAGCTACCCAAGAGTCTCTACACATACCTTACTGTGTATGTTAAAGTCAGTATTCCTTGTGTTGTGCTTATTCCAAAAAAAAATGACAGAGGTGGAGTTTAACCACTGTCAGATATCGATTTATAAGAAAAAATACACAAAACTAGAAATGAGGTGAAAAGAAATGTCCTCAGTATTTAAAAGCGTGATTCCTTGCAATTTTTTGAGTTAAGTATTCACATTGTAGTTCTAGCAATGGCCTCCATGGGCCACAGTAGGTGATTTAGTTGAGCATATGATTGGTTGATGTCTTTCCAATGTGCTTGAGGCAAGAAAAATAGATTAGATCAGACGTACGTTACACAGCCTGAAGCAGTGAAAATGCAGCACACAGTCAGCTGCAGAAGAAAGTGCCAACTAAATACAAACCACAGCATATACCAAAACAAATCAATAAAGCAGCTGGCAAAATACAAATCTCAAGCAATGGAAGGAGGATGGATGATTGGTAAAATCTGCCCCTTGCACGGTTTTCCATTAAGTCCCATCTCT